GGCATCCTGCGCGAGCATTAGATTTGATATTTGATCGTAAAAATCTAGTCATTCAACTACGCGGACATTGTCCGGATTCACACTTAGAGGTTTGTCACTAAACCTGCATTGAGGCGATCCTTTCAACGACTTTATAGTATGCCGAAACATATTTTGACTAACACATTAGCTTCAGACCAACTGGGCTGCCACAGTCATGATGCACAGCCTATCATTTAGGCCTACACCGAACTATGCTTTTGCCGGTTAATGAAACAGAACGTGGCGTGTTGCGCAGTTGAGATGCTGACGTTTGTCTGGTGGTTTTATTAGCTTGGCATCTTTTTAAATATTCAGTATATATATATATATGTATACATATATTAAAAAAACAGAGTTCATTACCTGACGTACCATTCCACTTCTTGAGATCGTCTTCTCATACCAATATTCCGAGTGCCTGCAAAGTAAATTCTGAGTTTTGTAATCTCTGGACCAGAGTCGAGCTGATATCAATTATCGGTACCTGACGTTATTCATCCCCGGAAAGCACTCGTTGCCCCGATCCACCACCAAATAATTCCCAAACATCATTCACACATTCCAAAATGGAATGCGAATGGGAAATGTTTTTTTCGCCTATGGATGAGTTTGGTTAGCAAATAATGAATAAGATTTACGTTTCACATACCCCAAACAGCTCCCCTGATAAGTGTCAATGGAAAAACTTGCAAAAATATCGTTCCGCCAATATCATTTTATCCATATTACGATGAAAAGCGCCGATTCCGTTTCGATAAAACACGTGACCAACATTTAGGAATTCCACCCGAAAGGGGATCGATATCTGGTGCGTTGACAGTCGCTGTTTGAATCACAGGCTGCAGCGCCCCATCTGCTTTTGATTACTACTCACTGAATAGTGGCACTTCATTGGTTTTTTTTTGGCATGCAACAAAGATGAATTTTTCTGCCCAGAACGGAAAACAGCATAGACATGCGTGAGCAGGATTATTGTGGGTGAATTAACTTTGCATCCTGTTTACGTATAACTTGACCAAACTGCTAATTACACTGCTACCTCACGGGTTGTGTTGATTTAGATTCTGTAGGGCTTTGAATTTGATTGCTCCCAGATGGATGCGCAATGCTGACAACACCCAGCACAGATGAATCAGCCATCCAGTATTTCCTGCTTTTTCAGTTTAAGTTCGCCGTTCTCTAACCGTGGAAAGAACTGAACTGCAAGGTACTAACCAAACTTTTGGCGCGGTACGACGGGACAGTTGTAGATGTTGTGATAAACCGGAACCACTGAGCTGTATTGCCAAATGTTCCACCTGTCTGGCTCTATTTCGGTGTCCGTAGAACCCCCTAGAATGTTCAGTATTGTCAGGTCGCCACTTTATGCTTAAATTATGCTCCCCTTTTAGTTAAGAACGAATGAGTTTTAAAATCTATTATCAGCATGGACACGATGGACTCTCAAAACCTGCATGAAGTGTAAACCGAACCAAGAAGCGCATAAATATATTGACCCCAGTGTTCAATGCTTCTCAAAGTAGACCGACGCTCACGTGACTTGCACCCCGCGATGAAACTCAATCTTTGATAGCGATTAAATGAAACACCACCCTGACGTTGATATGTATATCCAGACTTGAAAACGCTGTCACGCGCTGTCATCAGTAAACAGGCTGGTGAGATAATTGAGATAACGGAAACGATATAGTTTCACGTTTATCTTATTATCAAGAACCGGCTTATTTTCACCCCCGCAAAAGGGCTTCTCACAAAAAAACAGGACCTGGCATAGTTTTAACAGGAAACTCAATCGACTCTTTCGTTTATAATACTTTTAACCGAACGTGCCGTACATGCTTCAGGTGGCACGATGTTCGAGATATCGAAGTATATTGCCTTGTCATAATACGAAAGTAATTTCCAACTGAGTGTATTTCGTCATTCTCGTGCTGTTTGGTGTTCTATTAAAGCACACGGTTGACGGCAGCTCGTGAACGATGCCCATCAAGGGCAAAACCGATAGTAGTTTGTCCAGGAGTTTTGGCAATCTCATAAGTAGTATGTTACGTCAAAACAAATTTTACTTCCGATCTCCACCAAATTCGGACCCCCTGAGCAACAAAGTTTTTTTTGGAATTTTGGGGCGATCGATGGGTGACTGTTTTCTAAAACGCCTTTGACGTGATAGTGTTGCGGGATGATTCTACGGTTTTATTGTGTCAATTTTTCACCTTTTTGTTTTTACCCTAGTACGTTGATGTAATGATCCCGCAAATTATGGAATCAATTTATTGCGAACTGTGACCAAAAATCCGCTGGTTCCTTTCAATATGAGTGGGAGCATGGTGGAGAACGTGGGTGGTTGTATTGCTTTGTACCCCTATGCACGCAGCAGGAATGTTTCAGA